AAAAATTTAAAACATTCTGATAAAAGAAAAATATTTTATTTTTCCAATTAACCCACCTACCCTACCCCTACGCATATCCTCCTCCTCCACCACCACCAAAATAATTAAAAAGAGAATTAAAAGTATAAAAAAATTTGATGAGGAATAAGCACCATTTTGTTTTTATATTTTTTTTCTTTTATTATATTTTAATTATCTCTTTAATTAATTTTATGGTGGTGGTTAAATTAGGGGATGGGCGTATGGGTAGGTGGGCTAATTGGAAAGATAAAATATTTTTCCTTTATTAGAACGTTTTAAATTATTTTACGTGACTCCTTTGTACTTTAAAAAAAAACATGAAACTCTAGATGCAATTTTTTTATACTATTTCTTCTTTTTTATGTTTATTTATTTAACGATGATGATAAATTAGTTATTTTACAATACTATAATGGAGAAAATAGATAATAAGGACATGTTAAACAAATAAAGGTCCATTTGAGTGTTCAAATATCAAAATTGAGAAAATAAGGACTATTTGCGCATTGAAAGCAAATGATAGGGTTATTTTGCAACAAATTACGCATATTTAATGAAAGAATTTATGGAATATAACGGAAATGACAAATTTTGCAATAAATGTTTGAAATGAGGGTGTAAATGCCAAGTTTGAAACGATAGAGACTATTTTCGCAATAAGTACAAGCGATAGGGATGCTTTTTGCTAATTATTCTAGATATATAGTTCTAGGCTTTTGAACAGGGTATAAGCTTCTCTTTATAGCCTTAGGTACCTCTTGAGATCTAGCCTCTTCAGTTAGAATGTATTCGACCTTAACGATGGCTTTCAACTTTAAGACTTGAATGTTATAGTGTAAGGTGATTATTTTAAGCTTGTCTTGCTTACTGGTACAAGCTTTCTAAATGTTGTTTGATCTTCTGGAGAAAATTGTCCTATTATATCATAGTAATAGTTTATGTAGTTGTTCGTGGATGGACAGGTAAATATACAGAGAAAGATTTATTTTACGTTCTCTGTTTTGTGTTATCATTGACAATAGAACAATAATTGTGAGATCAATAATCATAATAAATATTGTTACGCCCTTCGCATCGCCTGCGGCCCAGGTATACACTATTACGCCCTTCGCATCGCCCTGGCTAGTCGAAGCGCAATGTGCGAGGTTCAACATAATCGAAGTGGGCAGACCGAGGCGTCACTCTAGAAGAGGATGGGACAGGTCGAGACGGCCGAGGCATGGCCCCGTGAAGGAAAATAGTACCACCTCTCTGCCATCAATTTAAGAGATCTTCTAACCAAGATCTTCTTTATATCTTGAGGAATGATTGATGTGGCGTTCTTGCCATATATCAACTCAAATTCAGCAAAATTAATTGCCCGCCCACCTAGAAAGAGATTGACGGATGCATACGCGCTAGACGCTTCAGACCGTCAGATTGTTACACGTGTCATGTATTTAGCGGTGCCCTTTGCCTGTAAATACCAAGGTCTTGGCCAGGAATAAGGTAAGCATTCTATATCCAAGCTAATATACTTTCTCCCCTCTTGAGTATTGTGCATTCCGACACCGTTGCTACCACCGTCGATTGACTTGATCGTCGGAGTGTATGTGGCCGCCGCCACCACCGTTGGTACTGACCGTATACGCCCGACCATATGTTATTGTGCGCAGAGAGGAACACATGTGATAGCTCGTAGTTGATCACGTGGAGGGTCCAATTTGCGGGGTCAACAAATATAAATAATATGCCACTTAACAGATTAATGCCAAGTATTCAAGAATTATTTTGCAGACTCGATTTAAGAATTTTTGGTGTCTGACATTATCGAGTAATTTTCTTAAAGCGGAATGAAAATGAGTATTAGAATGAAGATAGCTAGCTATTTTGTTTTTTGGTTTGAGATAAAGAGATAATTGTCGTCAAGGGTTTGTACTTGATTGCTTTTGCGACACTAGTATCCTGTTCGCTGAATTCACTAATCGCATGGGATATTGCTTTTATCATTTTAATGAAACTTTTTTTTTCCAGTAATTCTAAAAGTAAAGATAAGGATCAAATTGGAAACCATGGTTTCTAAAGTTATTTATGGTAGAGATTGATTATCAGAGATAATATTACCAGGTATGTGATTAGAAGACCGATTTAATAGGTTCTTGTTCCCTGAAAAACTTTGGATGATCCTATTGAAGTAGTTTGATGTGTAACGAAAAGAGGTTTTGTTTTGTTTTGTTTTTTTTTTTTTTTTTTTTTTTTTGCTTATTTTTTCCAGGGAGGATACTAGTAAAAAACTCAATATTCAAACCAATATGTGTTCAAAATTGAGTTCAAGCATAGTGCGTGACAAGCATGTAAAAATGCTATTTTCTTAGCGCATTTTGATTCATAGTATTGGACAAACGACAGACAAAAATTTTAGCTTCTTTTTTATTCCTTAATCAAGTACTAAGTACCAGATTCGTGTGCTATCAAGATTTTACGTCAGCAAAATAGGTTTAGTGCAACAACTTAATTGGAATGTCAATTTCAATGATTCCTGATATTTGTAGCATTTTGGTATTCTTGGTATGTATGCTTGTACGAAGTAGTTCTATTTATGGATGTTATTAGTAAACACATGGCACAACAGTAAAGTTTTTATCAAGGGACATGACTGGTAAGTGCATCAGATCGTCCAACTACTGAAACAGACAATTATGCACATAATGGAAGAGGTAGACAATTTATTATTTTGGTTGAAGAAGATCGATAAAAGCATTATGGGAGTAACTAATGTAACTTGTTTATTTATTGTGCTTCCATCAGTGTAATAGTTGCTGGGTTTTGATATCCAATAATTCCTGGACTATGATGTTGATGTGAAAATATATATTTCATAGGCTTAGGCTGATAAATGAAATAAGTACCAACAACAAAGTCCAAAGGCTCTATCCGATCCAATTGTATTCTCTTTTTGATGGCTTTGAATCTTGGTCCACTTAGCTTTCTTATTGGTCCAACTAAAAGCCTAACATAGCCTATTTATAAGATAACAACCCTATACTTTTTGAAGTGTGATTTGTGTAAGAATTGAGGAAAATATTGGCTATCCCATTGAGAGAGAAAAGGGCTGACTTTGTGTGTCCAAAATCGGTGGATCCCTTTGTGGATTTTGATCTCTTCCTTTGTGGATACAAGTCATCACCGTTATCTTGTCCTTTGAGGGTGAAATTGAGAAGCAACCAAGATAGATATACTGGTTGTGGATTGAAGACGATTGGATTGATAGTTTGGTAGAGAAAGGTAACGTAAGGCTGAGCCCGAAAAAATCGTTTTGACGACCCTTGGAGCAAACTTTCGCAACAAATGGTATCAGAGCTTCAAGGTGGTGGATTTGACTTGTGAAATATACAAAAAAACCTTCCAAGAAACTGGTAGAAATGAATCAGAAATCAAATAAAAATTGTCTAGAAAACTGCCAAAAATCAGCCTTTGTTTCGTGATTTTCGGCCAATTTAGAAGGCTTTTGGTGAAATGGAGACCACTGGAGTGACATGCAAGTGGAAGCGATTCCGACTGTCATGCACGTGATCACGGCGGTGGCATGTG